TTGTGAAGGCATGTTCAGGACCTCAGCGACCAAAATACCCTGTTTTGTGCTCTGTTTACTCAGGTGAATATTCGGCTTGATCTTGTGTGTGCTTGTGACCGAAGGTACCAATGGAGCAGGATATGCTTAACCTTTCAAGAACTCCACTCTTTGACACTGAAGCATAGCGCATGCTTGAGATATATTGGGATTCGCTTTGTTGTTAGCACATATATTACGATTATAGAACAAGCTGAAGAGATGGTAATAAGTAAATGACAGTACCATTATCAAGCGACAGACTCCTTGAAAAATATAATTGAAAATGGTTTGTAAACGTCTTCCTGGTTCACAAAATGTTCGTAATCATCTTGATGGACGACCAGTATTAATAAGGGCTACCCTCCCACGTCAGTTGTTAAAGGGATACACTGTCCAAAACGTTTTGAAATCCAACACTCTATTTTCTTGTAAGTGGACATCATTATCTAACTGTATTTTCCTGAAGTCTCGTACACACTCGAACATATTCTGTAGTTGCATAAATTGAAACAAGAAATTGTCGTACACGCCACAGATCGGTATGGTCACTTCAGTAAAATGTCACTTTTCGATTACAGATGCCATATAATATTCTGGCTGTTCAAGCAGAACATATTGCTGAGCTAATACGCAATATAATCTTCCGAAACACGATATTTCTGAAAGTCCAGTAATTCACTTAGGTAAATTAAATTTTCCATTTTGGAAATAATATTCCTCGGAGAGAAAAAATGGTCTCCCCGCACATGTTTGAACGTATCGGGCATATTTTATTTATGATATGATGTGCCCTTGAGAAATATCAGTCAATACTGCTCGCTGTGTTGGAATATCAGTGGAATTGAAATGCCACATTATTCGATTTTGCTGAGGGTGTAATCATCCACTTTAAATGAAAAGAACGCAAAGTGGAGGGGCTTCATTATGCGATGTTGAAATTATCAGTTATTGACGACCTCGTTAACAAATGTTCTCAGAGGTATTATCAATAGAAACACTAAAAAACGAATTAATACCCTGACGTAATAAAGTTTCATCACTTTCAATCAGTATTTTTTCGCTCTGTGAGGTAATCAATATTTTTCAATGTGGGTCAGTATGCCATCCCAAAATATTTGTAAATAAGTATAATTTTTTACTTCGGGTCACATGAGGTTTTTTGGGGTTGTAATCATCATCGTGATATTGAAAGAGGAACTTGGGAACATATACAATATTGTTATAACATTTGTAGTATTTGGTAAACATCATATCGTTTAATGGGTCCAGTGTGTGAACCAGAAAGTCGCAAATATTTCTCAACCAATTATTATACAAATCCATGTATGGTTTAAATGTGTAACAACAATTAGAGGGAATGTTCAGCATGCTCTGGTATGTATGTGCGCTAATACTCAGTAATGTATTTTAACATCCCCGCCCATCCCATCATTGCATGCGTTCTGCAACTTTCGTCCTTCTTCCTACAAAGCCAACTCCTTAAAACCATACTTTATATATGCATGCATGATGAACATACACACTATGCATGAATTAATACTATGAGTTTATAACACGAATGTACCTCTCATACAGCACATAAAGTTGTATAATGAAGCTCTTCTGTTCAATTAGCTCTGATGGTATAGAGTGTTACAGCGTCGGTCCTTTATCAGTGGAATGTGATACGACCACTACCGTTAATCAAAGGATCAACTACCAAATGAACTTTTTCTGATGCATGCTTTGTTAATGACTCCAAAATGCACTCTGCTTCGTTCCCATGGTGTTCTGATGAACAGTAACTCCAGCACGTTTTACCGCAAAGAATATTTAAAGCAGTTGTTTTTTCATAACATTTACAGCTCTGCATTTATATGCAAGAATTGACATCAAAACATTTCCTCTTCATTTCCTCACTTTTTTCGTTTCTGTCCCTAAATGCACTAACAATATTCTTTCCCTTATCTAATGATGACAAATACCACGAGCTTCCCAGATGAAGCCCTACCACCAATTAAACGTCATCACTGGGAATGTAGGAATGGTGTGGCATTCAGGGATTTCGAGGTAGATAGGTTCACTGTGTTCTGCCCTGACCACAGACATTCACTGACCACAGGAACTCACCCCTAACATCAGGGTCAAATATACACAGCCAGGCTGATAAGAAGTTGTAGCCAGCGACTCCATCTAAGTCTCTCTCACAGAGCATACAATTAGTAGTATCTTATAAAACAACCAAAACCCTCATTCTATTCTCATCCGATTCGTGCGCCTTTCACTGCTCCAGGATTTTTTCAGACTATAGGGCCGTTAATATTCGTGAGTTCCTCATAGATATGTAACTGGATTTCAGGGACATATGTTTGTCTATTCTAGAACAAGCATGGGTACTGGGTACATCTTCCAAAACTGCCTGTACTATTTTAAGGGACTACAGCCATACTCAACCAATGGCACTGCCGGCGACCTGAAATTATCTCCAAGTACTGTAGTCATGTTGAGAATCGATCCCAGTGTGCAGAGCGCACGCTTTAACTACCCAACTCCCCACTTCTGGGAACGCAAGGGGACGTATATAGAAGTATAAGACCTTCCCTGAAGACAGTGGATCCAGATTTCAAGCCAAACCATTGTTTAGAGGCAAAATGTCTAATCTCGCATTTAACTGAAGGCGACAACTCCGTGTCTAAAGGTACATGTAAATAAAACTAACAAAAGCCGTTGGAACAGGAATATTATACCAAACGAAAAAGCTACACAACCTTTCACGGTCCATAGAAATCTCTAAACTCGTGAGTACGTGGTTATAAAATCCCTCTCTAATAGTGATGATACCAGGTTTTCGCCAACAGGTGAGCGAATACAAATATGGTACAGGTCACAATAGGGAATTGTCACTGATGAGTCTGATTTAATTATTTCCATGTCTCCCGTGAAACTTTTGAAATCTTTACTGAAGAATGACGCACTTTGAAATCTTTGATGAAAAGAGCAAGCTTGATTGTACCAAGACAATTGTAAAATGTAAACTCCCAAGGCAGGACATGAAGGGAAAGATGACTATTGGAAAGTTGAAATCTCCTCTTTTGCCATTTCAATCTGAACATTTAGTAAGCAGACATTATTTTATTATCAATGACGATGCAGTTTGGGACGTGCTCCACAGGTCTACAATACAGCTTATCGAAAGATGATCTAAAGCCTTGGATAAAAATGTGTCAAATATTTCAGTGAGTACATTTTGTAATGATTATGTTTTCTTATACTGTTCAAGGCGCAGAGACTTGAATGATCCGGGATGATATAATTACAGCAGTGTAGCTAATCTTTCATTCTCTTACTTTACTCTAAGAGTGATAATGCAACAATGACCGAAATATGTTGTCCATAAATAATGACAATATGATATCATGTATTGCCTTTTTGTTTGCTGTTCGTTGCACAAAACAAATCAGAACATAACTTGATCATGTACTAGGAACAGGGTATAGAATAACATGTTGTTTTTCCAAAAGCACTACTCAATGAACTGCTCATTGTCATGAATGAACAATAAAGTAAAAGTTAAATTTGGGTTCATGTTAGGCAATAAAGCCTAAATAGTTGTAATCTTTTTAAAGTATGATCGATTAGTTTGTGTTTGCACCGGTAATTAGTAAAGCACTTAGGAATGCACACAATTCCCCAAACCAATTAAACGAAACCTAATTCATGCGCTGGGTGTTAAGTCCAAAAATCCCATCGTCTGAGGTGTTTTATGATCAAATTGTTCGTTTCACATAACATTCCTTTCACTATCACGGCAACAAGATCAAAGCTATCGAAGACAAGTAATAAAGATTAAGATAAAATATTGCCAGTGCATACACCTTCTATTAACCGATATTAGAAAATTATACCGCATTTTTTCTCATTATGAACACAAGTGCTGACCATTGCTGAATGCATAAATAGTGAAACACAAGTGCATATTTGAGCAATTATTCTAAAACACTCTCCCCATATACAATCTAATATTTATTCCTGTCTTTGAGGAAAGGCCACATGTGGTAACACTGGTTTCCTGTCGTGACAATTAAAAAGAAAAGGTGTTTAAATAGCATAGTTATGTGTTAAACACCGACATTTCTACAGAGCAGACCCATGCAGTAATTAAGCCTTTATCTCTTAAAGTATCGTCCCTGCTCGTTCGTGATTCTTCACAAAGCCAAACTGAGCGAACCGTGGCACTCCAACGATAGCTTGCTTCTAATCTTTTGCCGGAGGGGAGCTGGGCACTACCAATCGATAAATGACAAAATCAAGCAAATGGAGAAATTTCCCCGTGTACGGCACATCCACATTCCTGCAATGTCGACTGGCCTCCATTATGACATATCGTCTGCTTGCGTGATTCCCGCGCTTTTATATCAACAACTAACACGAGAGAAAACGGTTATTTCCGAGATTGGAAACCATCCTCCATTTTTCAACTGAGGCAATTTTGTGACGCCACGCGGCGTGTTTAGAAAGGTGCTTGGCGTCTCACAAATAATGTTTGCCACGGTCCTCATTGTCCTTAGGTAATGCAGATAAGAGATATAGAGCCAACTTGTCAAGTTTCCCTTTCACTTTTGTGTTTACATTCATTCGTAGGATTTAAAAATGGAGGTTATAAACCACGCGATAATTAAATGGCTAAAACGAGAACAAATGATACAGTAGTGTTTACCATGAAAATCATTCTTTCCCAAAATGATATTTAGTTAGAATTCTGATTTCGCTAGAAGGCAAGGCTAAAAGTAAGACTAACGAGTCTTTGGAAAAGCCTGTGCGCGTCAACAATAGCCCTTTAATGATCTCTCCTTACCAAACATTCAATAGTGTTTACCGATCGAACTTCTGAGCTACACACTGACTGCCATCGCTAGCAAGACTATTTACAAATGGAATTACCCAAAACATTAGCAGGAATCACTGTAATGCACAATCCGACAACTTTCATTTCCACCCGTTGTTTCGGCTGAGCCGGGGGAACGCATGCGACCTCGCTCGGAGTTAAAGAAAATTGGATCTTTATTGCGCATGCGCACTTGTCCTTTTGAATCCTCCTCAAATATTAGTTGTGTGCAATGGCGAACGATGATGATCGAAGCGCTTGAGCTTCGTTATGGCTATAAGGTTTCCATCTCGCGTTTCTTTATTCACTGGACATGAGAAAGACGCCAGTTCTTGCGTTTCTTCTTTGTCACTGGATTTATCTGGGGTCGTTCCAGAGCACGTTAGATCGAGTGCCAGTTGGTAAGTAATACTTTCCTTCATTGTTATCTATATAGCTCTTCTGCCACCATGTTTTACAGCCATACGCTGTAGCTCTAGGCATCACCTAAACACTAGCAATACCTCACATTCCCCTACAACCACGGAGTCATATATATTGTACATTTCATTCATATTACTAAGTTATGGGCCAAATAAACACACATGGGTGGTTATATGGTCTTTCTATGGGGAAACATTGCTTGTTTACATGCCAGACAAAACTAACAATTTCGTGCGTTATTCTCAGCTTGCAATAGTTTTTCGGGGGCTATACCGGTGCTTGACACGCGAAGGATTCAAGAAGGCCGAGAAACCCCTGTTAATGCAGAAATCAATAGACCGGGACCCTCAGGGAGGTGGTTCCAGCATGTTCTGAAGCAAGTCGTCAGCAGAGTCATTCTAGAAATGAGTCCCCATTTCCCCCAGCATTGAAACCCTGGTACACAGACAGCCGTAGTAGATGTTCCGTACATGTGTGTATTCCCCTGGCACTTCAGTCGGATTAGTTCGTGATTGTTAACTGTGTTTATTGTGCTGGCCATCTTCTTTCCACCCATTTGTTTTGCTAATGGCACATGTGAGAAGCACGTGGTCTGATAACATTGAATAATGTTAGACATAATACACGGCAATATTCCATAGAGTCTCTTAACTGTTAGGTTTCTGTAGTGACATTTCTCGGGTTCCATGGTCCTACGTTATCAGATCCTCCATAGACTCGAGTAATGGGTTTCTGAAATGGTAATGAACCAAGCAAGGTAGTTGTAGTTTATATAGTCCTGTTTGCATTAAGCTCAACATTCGTTATTTCAAACTTTTATTTCAAAATATTTATCTGCATCGAAGACTACTCCAATGTCGCATTTGATAACGAATCTTGTTTTACAAAAAGGCTAAGATTATTATATTTCATTTTAAACATTGAGTTGACTGTCACTGAACTGATTTATGAGCAATAGAATAACGCATATCAACATAAACCAAAATAAGAAAAAGTTCTTCAACTTTGGTATTTGTTAGTCATTGCTAAATAAGATTCTTTGAGATCAATTCAAACAAAAAGTACAAAAAATTACTACCGTTGCAAAAGATTCCAGAAACAATAACCTAGATGAGATGTCTGCAACAACATACGCCTCGGGCATATTAATTAATTAGAAGCCAAAAAACTCATATTTCCTGAATAAAACATTAACCACTGAACACGGTTTTTTGGCAACATGTAAAACCCTATTTTCTGTCTCCCTATTACCGCATGCAGTGTCAGAAATAATACACGAATGGTCCATGTCGATTTGACCCAGACCTTCGTGCGGTTAATATGAAGAGAATCACAGTTCTACGCAAGTATCACACCTTGACAGCACACCCTTACTATAATCATAATAGAACATTCATGCAATAGATATTATTCACGTCTACAGGATACCATTCACACAAGAACCCGTTACATTTATCAGTGAGAAACGGCCTTTACATTCCAATCCTCAAAACTACGTACGAAGTGATGAAATGGAAATATCAATACTATTACAGTTAACAAGCCATCGTTCGAAAACAGCTTTGCGGTTGGATGAAAACAGAAGTTGCAGTAAAAATTGTGATTGAAAGAACGACCCTCGACATCGGTTCAGTAATTAAGCTATCATTAGCATCGTTATGATTAATGAACATCCGTTTTAACTGCATCCACAGACATGAAACACATACTAGAAACAATTAGACACAAAAGTCTCCACAAATCGCGTAACGTTAATCATTCGCCTGCTGGCGAGGGACTAATTGCTACTAGATTCGCTAGCTCGCAAACACCTCTGCAGAGAAAGACTTCGGTGGCTAGGCGTTGCTATGGGTGTTCATCAATTCTTGACGCCTCTCTGGATTATTTCTTACTGTCGCCATGTTGGATTGTCAGTCGGAACGAATGAGCGGAATTACGCCGACACCTATGTGGCAGTGCCCTGACATGCCTACCATCTCCACCTTTATATGTCTTTATATCAAGGAACTGGACGTGCAACATACGGCGTTGAATGCTTCTTTTGGTCATCCCTTGGGAATCGTATGTTCGGAGATATCAATCATAAACCTCTAACCTTTGCAAACCCAGACATGCCTGCTATTTGTGTACTTTATAGAGATGAAGAATACATAGCTTATGAATCTATTTAGATTATTATTTCTTGGCCTTATCTGTCTGGTCAAAGGTGACCAACTATAGATGCATGTTGTTAGTGGAGCTGCATTAGCTTTCATATTTTCTTTCAATATTACACACTGTTATTCGTATATCCGTATACGACAGTCACGTCCGAATACACGACAGTCATGAAAGTCATCGCTTGTCACTGGTTGTCTACTGTTGTCTAAGGTGCCGTAGTTTTAGGTGCAGAGTTGCGTGCCTTAGGTGTGAGAGGATTGTGGGCTGAAACCCAGATCGTACGTTTATGTTTCTGGAGCTTTCAGTACTTAGCCGTAACCACTGGTCACCAGAGTGATATAAGTGAAGGGCTTTCCTTCTCACGTAAACTAGCACGCAGGGGTGTAACTGGAATAGTGTTCAAATTGGCGTTAAACCAAACCCCTCATTCACTCAAGTTAGATCTAGATGTCAAAACTTACAAATGACAAATGACCTCAATCCTGCAGAGACTGTCTGGTATTACATATAATATAACTCCATTAGTTACAGCGTATGTTGCGCTATTTAAGACCTCATGACAAAAACAGGGCATTTTGGTGTATTTTGAAGAATACATATTCAGTATACATTATGCCCTTGGCACTGTAGCTTGGATACATGTTCTTGTCTTGGTTCACCCGCGGGGAGCAGATTACAGAAATGGGTTACTTCTCTCATGCAGGAATATGTATGTTGTCTTTATTAGTGCGGACAAAGTTCCAATCCACATGTCTCCACTGTGTGTAGGTCTGTAACATAGATACCCCTGCTTATAAGTTCTCCACAAAGGTCTCCAGACCTTCCTTTCCACATCAAGCATGTTCACTGTAGGGCAGCAAGATATCAACTTCACTCATCACGCGCATTACACCATCACAAGACACATTAATTTAATATACTTCTCCTAAAGACCTAGACGTAACAGGAACTTACCACATCAGGCGTCTTCCAGTGCGTAAAGCAACACACCATTGAATTGCGAGTCTCCTTGAATCAAAGATTGTCACACATGTTAATACGGTTTGGACACTCCTAGGGCATTATGTCCACATGGGATGGTTCATTTGTGGATAATCAAATGCAAATTGATATTCAGTAATAATCCAACACGGTGCTGGTTCATGGATATCGGTTAACGTCCGATCGATTTTTAAATTTAGGCTTGTGCAGGATTGAGATTAGTCTCAGTAGTCATTCGTCATTCATAATGTTCTACACAGAGGTTATTGTGACTTCATACAAAGTACGCAGTGTGGCTCAATATAATATCTGGAGAGGATATCTGAAACAGTGACATCATCTGTTAGAGCAAATGTAAATAGTCAACGTGAACGTGTTATGCTACCAGCATTGCGCTGAAAATGTTTTGACACAGAAAAAAATGTGACTTAATTAAGCTCTGTGCTTGTACAAACAGAGAATTGATACAGGACAATGAATGAGAATGTCAGATATTGATTTTAGATATCGATGAACTGATACCCAGTGGTTGGTGTCAGGTGACAACAATATTTAACATATGTAACATATATTTAGATGCCTTAAACATACGCATGGCAAAGGGGTCCGAATTAAACCTTTTCAACGTAAGTATATGCATATATTATTTTTAGGGGCGGGGAGCACATAATGTGTATATTGTGGAACTTCCTTTAAACTTCGTGTTAAATGCGAATACACTAGCACACTAAAGGACAGAGGGACATTCCATAGTCATTATAGCTTTCCGCTGTACGATTGCAACTATTTCCTAAACTTATTTTGAAGAATATCTATGAACGAGCGATAATGCAAGATGTTCGCGAAAACATTAACGCAGCCTTTCCCCATGTGGAACCCCCGACGAACACATCAGGGGTAGGTCAGTTGTCCTCCAGAAAACACCTGAGGAACACACAGTACAAGACAAAATGCTGTACGCCATTGTTGGTAATGATGCGTCAGTTTGGAAAGGTCTTCGCATGTCTGCTATAAACATCGTGAACGCTTTGCAGAAGCCTTGAATGTTGTCAGCTTGCTCAAGCAAATGTTTGGCAACAGTTGACTGACGGTCTTAAAATCGTCGTGGAAATAGCATGCTCGACTGTGTGTCATACGTTGATGAATGTTGACACCAAGAGCTGGTGCTGCCTGAAACTTTTATTCGAAAGAGAGGGAAAAGTGAATACTGGAAGGTAACAACAAATATCAGTTGTGTTTAGAACGCACAGTAGTGTCGTTAGATAATGTCACAGATGAACCATATTATCTAAAAGCTGGTTACAGGTTAGAAGGAAATACGTATACCTTTAGATTAACCACACATTAAGCACTGGTTATGTTTACTTTTCAGAACGAAAGTGTCATGTTAGTTAGGTTTTTTTCGGTAGCCATGTGACTGTGGGATTGATGAATGATGTGTTTCTGCAGTGGTACACTGCGTGGAGATCATGTTTGGAGTCCTCGCTTTTAAGTGGCTGGGATATTGCTAATTAGGGGGTACAATCCTATTCATTCATTCATTTCCTCAGAATATTTTGTAAAGTTTTGATTGTATGGTCCATGCGAAGTACACGCTAATGGCTGTTTCCATTTTCACGAACATGTGGTGCTGTGACTAATTTGCAACGATAAACTCATATCATCTTCATCACTATTTTGCCTATGGAGCCGAGTCAGTTTGAATGAACGTAAGTTAATATACCATCAGTGTATGAACCAATTCTTCAACCATCAACATGCATAGGCCCATACGTCAGTGAATGCTAAGTTCCATTTTAACTCCAATTTGTCTGACGTTGTTTTTGTACATTTCCTTTATCAAACAGGTGCTGTGTTTGATCGGAACTCAATCCAGGTGGATACAGCCTTCAGTCATGAGGTACAGAAGAAGAATAGTGGGTCCGGGCACCAAAGGTTCGAACTCCAAAACTGGACAATCACACTGGATGTCACCGATAGTTTCGCTGTCAGTAACGCCCGTAAGTAGCGCCCGTTGGTCTCCAAGCCAGGACAGAATTGAGCGAATAGCTTCAAATTGCATTAATAACAAGCTCTATTTTTCAGCGAGGCTCTTCCTCTGACACCTGCGCCAAAGGTTGTCAATTTCAGTGCCGTAATTGACAATATGATTAATTTGACAGGAGACGACTGGATTGTATTTCTCCACATCAGTATCTAAGTTCTCAAAATAATTACCTTGTGTCTACTCGCCGTTGACTCTTCTGCCACAACAACTGCTTCGATTTCAGGAGGCCACCAATCGCGTGATTAGGGAGGCTCACTGATTTCAAATTAGGAGCGGAAGAGAATAGTATCTGTTATTTGTCATGTCTGTAAAGAACATCAATATATGAAAATTGTTTCAAGTGTGTTTCCAGTCATTTTATGGTGTTTGTCACTTTTGCAAATGTTTGACGAATGGGTTCAGGGACCTTATTCGTGATTGGCTGCACATTTTTAGAGACATTCGAAGCATGGATTTGGAGTTAAACAGTTAAGGGTTGTAGATTTCAAAATGGAATTAATGACAATTGCCATGATATGTTCTATTTATCATGATTTTGAAAAAAAGTAGTTTAAATACTGCGTGTGCCTTCACTCTGTAAACGTGTCAACACTTTGGCTGTCTCCTGCACCTGATTGCTGTAACGGATATGATGCTTTTAGAATTCCGTATACATAATGATGAAGGAATGAACCAAAGTTTCAAAATTGATTTCAGGTCTCAATGGTCAATGGCATTATTATTAAAAAAACATCGTATAAAACTATTAAGATGAATGTCGAGTATCGTATGGGATGCTGCCCTATCTGTGAGGACGTACAACAATATAAACATACCTTAATGTGTGCTATGTACATATCTTTCACACAGATGCCTGTTTCGTTAGAAAAGTAAACAACATTCTCAAGTCGTAACACAAAAAGATTAATGAGACTTGATTTGACTCTTTTACATCTTAGATGAAGAAAACTGGAATACGCATAGAATTATGTATTGACCGCACACATATTGATCCAAATCACATGCACGGGAAACATTTAAGATCATTTATCAACAATTACTTAAGAAATACCTTCCGCTCACGCGATATTGAGTAAACATTTTGTAAACTGAATAAACACATTTTCTTCTGTCTTCACGACGCTTTCAAACTGAACTAACAATTACAGCGCATCAAGAAGCAGTGATATCATACGTTAATAAACTCAGTCAATAGTTTTGCAGAAACGCGCATTCCCATTGCTTGTGTATATCAATGCAAACCACATCGCGTTCTTTAATGAATCAAGAAACTGTATAGCCATACAACAGAATCGTTTCCCTTATATGCACAAATTTGGCCCGTTCTGCTGATAAGAGCAGCTCAAAAAGGTCGGTCTGTTGACAAATAGACAGAATAAATGTATTAATGTTGTCCGTCCTTGTGTGCTGCCGTAATATTCATAGGCACGCACGCACGCACGCACGCACGCACGCACATACATACATACATACATACATACATACATACATACATACATACATACACACACACACATACATACATACATACACACACACATACATACATACATACATACATGCACACACACATACAATCACACACACACACACATACATACATACACACACACATACATGCATACATACTTACATACACACACACACGTACATGTAGAAACATTGGTAATGTTGAAATTAGTGCTTGATTGCTGCTCGTTGCAATGTATTACATAAACTCAGCTTTATGCGTTTTATCAGTCGTAACGGTCACCTAGACGGTATGCATTGTATTATCCATGTCTCTGACCCTGTCTTGAGAGTAATGTATTCCCAACAAATAATTATCTAAACGTAAATAATAGCATTAGATATATTACGAGCTGGAATGATGCTGACATTTCAATATGTCAAGCAGAGTCACATGGGAATGTCACGATATTTGTGGTTGCTTTATGGTTGGTTTGAAAGCTCATGTTTTAAAGTTTGAGGTTGAATTGCCAAACACGCCAGATATGCATGTAACAACAGAAAACCAATCAGCATCATGCATTTAAAATGGTCCCTAGGCAAATGATTTAATGATTATTAATATATCGACATTTTGGTGGCGTTTATACATAATGCAGTGTTTGTAAAAGTTATCAAAATATCATTGTTGTGACTATAACTGTTTTGGGGTTTTTTCATCTAGACATAATTGTAACATAAAGCAAATTGGAACTAAATATCCTTAGTGTTTTATATTTCTTGTATTTTAAGTATTTTAAATTATATATAGTGACACCGTGATGATCTTCACACTCACGCTGTGGTGTTGCTGGAATATTGCGGCATAAAACCATACTCACTCAATCGACCCTTATACCGATTAACCAACTTCTGGAGCGTTACTGCTTGGATCCCTAAAATATATATTCATAGGATCATAATGCCGAAGATTTAAGAGTTACAATTTTGAGAGTTTCAGTGGTTTTTATTATTTTTGACTTAGATTATATTGGCAACTGTACGGATAAAACGTATCTTATACATTCATAATTACCTTATAAATAGAATGTGGAGTTGAACTAGTTTAATCGTTATATGTATTGGTTAAGAACCTGAAATCTTTCCTTAGACATGTGATAATGTATAAAATCAAAACGGTTACGCATGGGTACATTAAAATGCTAAACCTCAATCGGTGATCTCTTGTGAAATAGATTCACAAAATCATAGCACCACACAAACACGCTGTGGATATTGCAAATATCTCTTTCTGTCAGTCGTGTAATGAAGCACGTTCATTCATATCCTACAAGCATCTTCTTTGATATGAATTAATTCATGTCATATCAAAGACGACATTGCTGAAACATTTAATCACTTTAATTAAAAATCGAAGCCAACGATAATGCGTTATGCTCGTTGGCTAACCTCATTGAGTGAGTTCCAATGTTCACGATATCCTTTGAATGTGGACGTCTCTGGTCTTGTCATGGTGCGGGTCAGATGGTGTAGGACCCCTGTCTTTTGCAATCGATTTGCCAATGTATGATGAATGGCGCATGGCTTTATTCATTAAGGGCTTTTTCAGAAAGAGAGTCAGAAAATGGAAATACAACTTTAAACCAAACCTTCAATTGTCTTGGTATACTGTTCCAGGTTTTGGATACGATAACTGAAATTATGTGACATTTGTAAACAAATACAAAAACAATTAACATGCTCTCTCAAAGTCGTCAAACTCTACCATAAACAATATTCTTAACCTCGGTCTGGTGGAGTGCTCAGTCGTTAAAGTGTACATGCTGTCATGTTTCTATACTACAATGTGCAAAGGCCATGTCCTTTGTACCCCACGAAGATATTGCAGGAATATTCCTAAAAACGGCATAAACCATTCTCTCACTATCCCTAATATACATGCATTTGAGTTTGCACAAAGATACATCCGCTGAAATGAAGTTTTATACCTTGAGTCTCTTTTTTCACGAAAACAAACATTACGCAGGAAGAATGCATCCGTCTTAGTTGAAGCAAAGACAAATGCGGTAGCTAATACTTATTTGTTACTTAAAGAAAACATTCGTCTGAAGGAGTAAGAACACAGGGACAATCGTGTGCAATGAGAGATGCATTACTTCAAAAAGAACATTTCTTCTGAAACATATAGATTACTTTTCAGATATTAATTTAAAACAAATTACATCAACTCTAGTTGGTGTTGAGTGCAGTTGATGTCGAAGACGCGAGAGACAGAAATGTTCTCGTTATTATTCAACTGTAGTCGGGGAACTCATCCATCAGTTTAACCAAGTTAATGTAGATCTTATAACTCTTCGTCTTCTACAGATAGCAAGATAAATACTTGATTAATTGATCCTTGTCAGCCCTAAACAAATCGGCCTGTTCATACGTCACTGATTGAAGATTTGGCGGTTTCTTAAGACAGTTTTATTACTGTTTCTACAGACTAGGCAAGATTTAGTTTCATTCTGCCATTAAATAGAGTAAATGACTGTCACATTTCCTGAAATGATGCCTTGCATATTAGCACGTTCAGATCCATGGAGACAGTAAATTTGTCTCGATTACTCAATTTCACCGTTTCATTCCTTTGGGCGAATTGCAATAATTTTAGAAACATCAAAGTATCCGTTTTACAATATTATTCTAGTTATTTACACATGTCTGTAAAAATTATACATCAAAGATTAAAACAGATTTTATTTCATTTCAAATATTTGTAATCCACATAATGATACGCATTACTCGTGTCACAGTATGTTTCCGCCGAACATGAAACATCCATTCAGTACTCTCATTTGTGAAATCAAAAACAAGATGATTATTGTTTCTTATACAATGCAATTGAACCACCTCACTAGGTCAAAACATGACCACACATTCACCTCCCAAATGTATTAATCAATGCGAATACTGCAAGGCAAATGACACAAGAAGAGCTATGATATGTGTCCTTTTGGCACACTTGCGCGTACATATTGTTACAAGATAGTCTGAAACATTGGTTTGAAATATTATTAGATAGGACAAATAGCCATTGTTCGTAAAGTGCAAGTAATAAACCTATCAAAATGGCATGTCAAACGTATTGAAAATAAACCATTTGCCTAAAAATACATTCAAGTATAATGTTTTATCAAAAATCAACTTTATACTATTTGTTTTGACTTCTTTATCTCCTGTGAAAATCACCTCTAATAAAATTAGACCAACCCATCATGAATACCTCTCGGAGTCCGCTAACTTCACCTATATGTTCAATATAATTATTAGTCTAAATAATGCATGAAGTGACTGCGCTGTGGGGTTTCCTCATTCCTGCAATTATGAATATCTTATGCGGCCAGACATTCTCATCATAATACGTTGCACTTTTGCAGAAAATATACTTTTTCGATCAACCACATATACAGATGCATGTCTGTTTTAACATCGGCACAGTTGTTTATATAACATACTGAA